CCACCAATGAACCCAAGTTTGTTGGTAGATTTAAAAAAAAACCTCCAGAAAGTCATTGAAATAATTTGAAACTGACAAAAATAATAAAAAGGAGGAAAAAAATACAAAAAGCAAAAGCTAAAAACTATCAAATGAAAACCAATCATTGCTTTTGCAATAAGGTTAAACAGAATCATATTAAAAACAAACTAATAAAACTTGCCTTGACAGAAAGGATGGTAACCTGAGAAAAGATTGAAAACTATTTGACTGTGAGACATATTAAGACTCAGGTGTCTTCCAGCCTATAATAAGTCTACCAAAATATTTAAAGGGTAAAAGGCACTCACTGTGATGTTTGGTATCATGGTGTTTATCAGACTGTACATGGACCACAAAAAGCTAAATGCAGAGTTGTCTCTGCTTRGAAAACACATTAACAAGCAGGTTAAATATAAAGGCTATACCATCTAATAATACCATAATACCAGCTTGAGGCTCCTTCGACTACAGCTACACAAATTATTTAAATTTTTAAAATTATTTAAAATTATAAAATTTATAATTTTAAATTTTAAAATTATTTAAAATTATTTCAATACTAACTTAATGACTCATTTTGCACACCCCCTCCGATCTTGAGTTTGTCATGACTGTCTTTGTCCTGTAATTTATATTTTTCTGCACAGTATCTTGCCTTATTTTTCATTTTTATCCAATTTCATCTTGATAGCCTGTTACAGTAATTCTATTCTTACTTTTATTTTGATCTATATTTATTTTTTATTGTTACTCTCTTTAATTCTATTATTATTGCTACAATTGATAATGTCACACAACAAGATACTGTTCCTGTGGATTGATGTATGTATCTGCTGCTGCTACTACATCTGAATTTCCCTGCGCGGGATAATAAAGGCTTTTTCTTCTATTCTAAAATTTAAAGAGCACAGAAAAGTGGCCAACCTCCATGGATGTGACTGCAGAAAAAAACTGATGACAAATTGATGAGCCTGATATTAGAGAAGAGTCCAGAACAACKTCCAAAGAGATAARAGTTGAACTCCATCAGTTTCAGATCGCACCACCTGTTTGATGGTTAAGCCAAAGGAAGAAAAAAAATCGAGGAGGACACCATATTGAAAGCAAATTGTAGAAACAAGACTTTTGCCAACAAGTATGTTGACAAGGCCACAAAGCTTCAGAGAGAATGCCCTTTGGTCAGATCAGACAAAACCTGGGGTCTCATTTATAAAGGATTGCGTGGAAAMYWTACTAAAAGTGAACGTACGGCCAAAAGGCAAAAATGGCGTACGCCAAAAAAATTCAGATTTAWAAAACCGTGCGTAYGCATGTTTCTGCACATCTTTCCTTTATAAATCACAGCCTCACGTCAGAGTTTGCGCACGAGGTCCCGCCTCAGGTTCTACCCTCTACACGTCCACACTCAACCATAAACAGTCAATGTAAAGTACCTCATGAATGTTAAGATGTATTTAAATCAGTCAGCTGATCAATGTCAACAAAAGTGATTGGCTCAAACGCGCTCCTTCGTGTGTCTGGAGGTTGACAGGTGCTGACTGACAGCTGCTCACGTGAACAAAATGTCTGTAACTGACACAGATTTTCCCTCATTTTGCTTTAGAGTAATCTAACGATTTTTATAAAAAAATACTCAGCTTCAAATTAATTTTCCATCAGAGCCTGCAGGATGATAAAAACAATAAAAATAAAATTAAATAAGTCAGATAAAATTAGAAATAAGTCCACCGCTCTTCTCCTCGTCCTCTCCCCTTCCTGCCTGCTCTGTTATCCACGGCAGACACCCCAGCCCCGTGCGCGCACACACCCACACCCACCCCCCACGCGCGCGTGACAAACACGGACTTTAAACGTGAAGTTTTATAACATCCACACTGGCGAGGTGGATGTGCCCTGCGCGTGTATCCAAAGCGTGACTTCTGCTGTACTGCTGTTCTTGTCGGGGAGGGGTCTGTGGGTCAGGCAGGGGTCTGTGGGTCAGGGTCGTCTGAGGAGGAAGCAGATGAAGGGAGTTGCGCACGGGAACTTTTATTTAAGATTTAAGTTTTTTTATTTCAAAGGTCCTCATGGCTCAGCAGCAGAAGCATAAATATTACTGTTTAAGAAAGCTGTTGATAAAGTTGAATAATAATCTAAGTCTGATTATGAAGGTAAATTAAATCTCTGACAGTGATCATTACACAGTGTGGCTATAATTCCCCACTTCATCATCTGTGTCGCAGTTTCACGTCTCCAAAATGAGCGTACGCATGGGTCAAAGCTGGTGTGAGGCACCACACATTTTCACGTCAAGTTTGGATTTTATAAACCACAACCTTGGCATAAAAAGTGGCGTACGCAAGTTTCTGGGCTCAAATTGTGCGTACGCCAGTTTTATAAATCCGACCCCAGAGCTTTTTGGCAACAAATCCCATCTGCTTTGTGTTCATGGACCCAAAAATTAACCATACAGAGCAAAGAACACAGTAACTACAGTGAAACATGGAGGAGGATCAGATATGCTCCAACGCTGCTTTGTTGCATCTGGTACAGGGTGTCTAGACTCTGTACTGGGTTTGTACCCAGTACAATCTCAAGACTATCAAGGTATTCTGGTTCAAAATATGCTGCTCAGAGTCAGAAAGCTTGATCTCAGTCATGGATGATGACCAAAAACACAGCTACAGTAAATACCACCCGCTTCGGATGTTATCATCCATTAAATGGACATTATTAGCCGTTATCAGTCCCATACTGGCTTCAGACTGTCCCGACTGTGCCGCCTAGTGGGTTCTCCGTCCCATAGAATGGCTTCAGACTGTCAGGTGGTTAGCATGAGGCATAAAGCCACTAAGGTTTTTAATGCAATCTGGTTAATATGAGGCATAAAACCACAAAGGTTAATTTTAGAGAAAATGACATGGGCTATGATAAAGTAGACCGGGGTCTACCTGTCCGGGGGTAGCAGATTGTTGCATTCCAATGCATATGGCACTGGTAACCCACTAGGGGGCACAGTCGGGACAGTCTGAAGCCATTCTATGGGACTGATAACTTCTAATAACGTCCATTTAATGGACTGATAACATCCGAACTGGCTGCTAAAAACACCCACGAATAGCTATAAAGGTCTAAGTGACCTAATAATCTATGAACTAAACCCTGTTGACAAGTGTAAAATGTTTTTAAAATTTGRCCAAAYTAATCTAACAAGCATAAATACATACACACTATGTAGTGTTGTTTTAACACAGACTTAGCTGTGTACAGTTCCTCTAACGTGTTGGTGACGCTCTGCAGGACCTGGAACTAAAGGCAACAGAACTTTTCATCTAAAAGGATTCTTCAGTTCAGAACAGATGTTGTCATAATTATTGTTTCAGAACACAGACAACACGGACAGTGTATGAGGAAGTCTGGAATGTATCTGGTGGAAATTCAGTATGGCAGACTAATGATCCCTGAGACCACTCTGAGGCCGCCATGCTTCAGCTTATTGCTCTCCTCAGTAAGTTACTATAGCTATGATCTAATCATCTCTGTCTACATGAATGTTTGACTCTGCAGCTGCTCTCTATTCCCTCTCTAATCAATGTTCTTTGGGAGTTTCATGAAAAAAAAAACTGTGAAAATGCATTCTCACTTCTTACAGACCACACTAGAGGAGCGAGCTAACTACACTGTGGTTTAGCACCATAATGATTCAGTAGAGACAACCAGCCCTATGCTATGGTCTGCCAGGGCAGGTGTGGTCCAGGTGGTGAACCTGGCTGTCTACAATACACATACGAGTGAGTGAAAGTGTGGGAGACATGTCGTAAAGCATGGTGTTGGTGTTGCCTACAGTTAAATGGTGTTATAAAGGTGCAGTTAAAGTAACGTTTATATAGTATGAATTTGAGCTATGCAGCAAAGATTCCTCTAAGAATACAATGTGAGAGTATGTGGGCTGTACAAAAAACACTAAAAGAAAAAACACTAAAATGGCCATCATTAGTGCTAACAAGAAGATGAGAAATACTGTCACCACATTGCAACAATCTGTGTGTACAAAGTTACCATCCTAAGTTACAGCAAGAATGACAGCAGACCATTGTCGTCAAAGTAAAAAAAACAAAACTTAGCAAAGAAGGTCAATGTTTTGCTCATAATTGTTATAATTGTTGGAACCAAAACTTCTAAAATTGCGGCATTACTTTTCATAGCAAGGCTGAGCAATAAATCAATAACACATAACACCCAATAAATACATATCGTAAAAGACACATGATCAATATCAATACAAAATATATAATAGAAAGTTGATCATTTCATTGAACTTCAATCCAGAATCGAACGGCATTCTGGGGGATGTAGGCAGAGGAAAGGCTTTAGCTGCTCGACCTCTCATGGCCAGCCATGGTTGATATCACACTCACTCTTTGGTAAACTAGCTAAATCCCATAGAGCAATATGCGCAGCAGCAGTTTCATGTTTCACCGCCGTGCCTCATAACTACTCGGAGTGACACACTTATATTGTGATTAGGGCTCCACAATACTAGGAAAACCTCTGATGTGTGATAACAGTGATTAACACTGTGATGATGACTTGCAATAAATGAACATGCAGTGTTGATGTATTTCTGCTCTGAGTTCAGAGCAAAAAACAACGAATACATCATTTCCATTAAAACAGTGCAACTAGACACAGCAGCTGTATTAGCAGTGAACAACAAAGTGCCTGCAATAGTTTCTTAATGACATTAAACATTGTCCATTTACCATTTTATGATGTTCTAAATACTAAAAAAATATCCCTTACTATTAGGTTTTTAAATAATATTAAAAACATCTGAAAATAAGTTAAAGAATTTTAAATAAAAGTTAACAAACCTAAATCCAACTGCAAACGTCTAACATTTTCTCCACTCACTAAGAGGTTATGATTTGATGTGGTATGTCAGGTCCATTCTGTTTATCAGAATGATGCTGACAAAACACATAAATGCAAACATTTGAGACAAGCATTTATTGTAGTTTACACAGTTTTATGTGATACGTATATTGCACAGGCTGCTATCACTATAATGATAAATTTACAATATATCGTGCATTGATACATGATAAATTTTTAGCCATATTGCCCACCCCARTTTCACTGCTAAATATTATACATAATTAGTTGAGAAATCATTGAAAACATGACCTTTTCGGTCTCTGTTTGTTAGAAAATAGTTTTTGAGTTGAATAAATGTGTTAAATTTGCACGTTGACCACTGGAGATAGGCATCAGCTCAGCCTGCCCTAGTTTTCAAATGGGCAGCTCTGATTGAGGTCTCTACCAGAAACCTGGGAGCTGGAGGGTTCAGCGCAGTGTCTTAAACATGTTTATAGAATAAAAATCCAATTGCTTTGTTGTTTTTAAAAATACTTTTTGCATTCTCCATGTGCTAACAGATGATACATTATGCACAAGATTGTGCATAATGTATTCAAGGTTCAATCAAAAGGACTATAACTAACTGACTAACACTATTTACCTTTAAAAACCTTTTAAATCGTCTGTAAAGAGTTTATCTTGAATTTAAGTTATAATCTTATTAATGAAAATGTGTTTACGTTTACCGCATTATATTTTACTGGAAATCCCTTAAACATACATTATACAAAATGACCAGTAGAATAGATCTACTCAGCGGCCCATAAGTCAAACACCCTGTGTTTAGCTCAACAGAGTGGATGTCAAACAGGGAAGACGTGAAGACAAGGACAACACTACAGAAGACCTGTTTTGTCACAGGACCAGGATCCATCATCAGCTTCCTGAGCTGGGACAGAGCCAACCACTGCAGAGCTCCAATTAAATTAAAGAGACGCCAACAAACAGCTCTGTCCTCTGCTAGCTACAAGCCTTTCACTATCTGTGTGTGTGTTTGTGTCTGTTAGCAAAATATCTCACAAACCACTGAGTAGATTTTATTGAAAAGTAGTGCCAGCCTCAAATACTTCTGCATGTAAAAATCACCCCAATACTTTGGACAGATTCTTTATTCTTGGTGATGTCATTTCCTCTTCCACTTCACAAGTAACTGAGGACAAAAAATTAAAAATCATCTGTAGTTTTGGAGATATTTTATTTACAGGTGATGTTAAGGCAGCAGACTGATGTGTTCCTAATGAAAAATGTGTTTCTAAAGTCATTATGTAAYATTTAAGTACTAACTTATTAACTACTCTGTATTGGTAGTAAGTATCAGAAAGTACTTGTACTTGGCCTGAAAAAAGAAAAACTATTATGGAGACACCCCTGATTAGATGTCAAATTTAAACTGATTGACCTTTTAAGTGATCCAATTAAAGACTAGACATGGGTTTTTATGATGTAAAAACAAGTGTGCATTGCCACGTAGCATGTCATTGCAGCATGGCTTTGCCTGCAGCATTGGACTTGCAGAATGAACTTTGACCAAGTTCAAATGTGTTTTCTGTACCAGCTTGTGCCTGTCACGTCAGCAGGTGTTTGTAATTAAGGTAATTGTGTGACAATATGAAGTTCGCAGAGATTTTTGTTAAAGTTGCAGTAGCTGGATTTGAACCCTGATCTCCCGCATGAAAGCCCACAGTGCTCATCATGACACTATTGGAGATGTGGCAGAGGACAATCCCAGGGATTGGATTGTATGTATACAGAAAAAGTTTACCTTGCCAATGCAATTATTGACACTTAAGTGCAATATAATACAGCAATAGGACAACATAAAGACAGTATTACAGTAAAACATCAAAATACAATCATATTAATATTGTAATCACTGAACTACTGAGTTTAAATATTATGAAACTATGGTGCAGTACCATTTTGTGTAGAGGCAGCAGGGGGCAGTATTGGACCAATACAAGGCTCCATTGACTGCCATTATTATTTATTAAACATTAATATTTCAAAAACCATAAGTTTTACAGGCACCAAAAGGCATAGCCATCATTTGGCACAGGGGTTTTACAGATATAAATTACAATGGCAGCTCTAGGACAAAGTATGCAGGAGGAGAAGCATGGCAAAGTTGAGATGACTTGGATGGGAAACGAATCACAATAGTGATTGCATTGCCAGTGCAATGCACACTGATAACCACCACAGCTAATTGTAGGCAACACAAAAACGGCTATAACTCAGTTGGTTTTAGAGATATCAAGCTCAAATTGAATGTAGTAGTAGCTGAGAGCCATCCACAGTACAAACACAGAGCAATGTGGTCTCTGTTTAAAACTCGGGTATAAAAGATGGAGGGTTCACATTCATTAAAGAAATATGAATTAGAAACAGCTGAAATCATTTAATTTATTTGTTTTTATTTTGGCTTGAGTAAAACACATATTGTTGTAAATTTAAAAAAACTAAATGACTGATAAACAGTACTGGTTTGTGTTTTAATATTAAGATTTAGAATTTAATCATGACAGCCTCATGTCCATCTGTCACAATATCATCTTCAGAAAATCAGCTGAGTTGTTCCTGTTCTGTGTTAACTCCATGATAATAAACCAGAGAGTGAAACAAAAGAAAACACATGACGTGGTGTGTTTTTAAGAGGATTTCACGGTGGGAATCCTCACACAAAGAGAGGAGAGGAACCGCTTCTCACACTCTCAGTAAATCCCAAACCAAGTGGGCGACTCCTCCAACGTCACCATTCCAAACCTCCGTCCAAAAAAACACGCGTTTCAATGTCCCACCGTTTCCCCAAACATCTCAACCTGTTTAATCAATGTAACCGCGAACCCACTCAGTGTGGGATCCAGTCTGTGGTTCGGCTCACGTGTGGGACGATGAGATACAGCAGAACATTGGGAGAACCGTTTTTGGTTTTTTTTAATCGTGACCAGTTCTACATTTTTGGCCTAAAAAGAGTAGCTTCCCAAACGACGGAGACAACCCGAATCAGTTGTCTTGCTGGAGTGATTTCCGGTTCTGTGCTGCTGGTAGCTCCGAACGGCTCGGTTCCAGAGGCAGAGCACGATGCGGGTGATGATAATGATGAGCTCACATCATCCACAACATTACACAGCAACAATGGAGACAGCCTACCTGAAACAGAGGCACCTGCCGGTGGATCATTCTCCACAGCTGAGAGGGAACAACACTCTGTTTACTCCCCACCGAGGTCCATTTGGACGGGGAGGAAAAAGCGAACGGAACCAGCAGATCCAGCGTCGGTTTACGGAGGCTGGAGTCACATTCTCTATTCTGTTTGTGGACCACAGTCAAGCTAGGCAAAGGACAAAAAAAACTACTTCCTGTTCATTTAACTCCATCCCAGAACCGGAACCTGTAAGTCGTTTGAGCTAATATTGGGTCATCCAGAACAATATTAAAAGTATGTTTAAACCCGGATAAACACGTCTCTGTTTCTTCATATTTAAATTAGTATCTTAAAATAAAAAGGTAGAGACATTACATTGAAGGTTGTACTTCCGGTTTTGTTCACAATTCTCTACATTGATAGAGCTGGGTACCAGAGGCTCTCGACCAATCAGAAAACGTGTTTTCCGCCTCGCGTGCGCTCTGCCTCTTCTTCCGCCCGCATCCTTCTACCTCTCCTCTCCTAAAGCATGGTTTCCTTCAGAGGAGCTGCAGTTTGTGACACGAAAACCTGATAAACACAGCGCATCCTTCATTTGAAAGACAACTTTCAACAGAACGGAAATCCTCGGGGCCTCGGAGAAGACCAGATGTTACATTATTTTATTTTTTTAAATTTTATATTAATTTTTTCTCAGTGTAGTGATTTCGGGTTTTTCTCCCGTTTCTCGTATTTCCGTGAACTACTTTGCAGTTGACCAAGTTTTAATTCATGTTTTTTTTTTATCCAATCAGGTTCTTTTAATATGACGTCTCCAGGCAGACGCGTGTTTAAAGAAGCTTTCTCATTGGTTAAGACTTGTCAGGACAGCAGGTGCAGGTGAGTCTCTGAGGATGGCTTTGTTTAATAATAGGCCTACCTCACAGAAAAGGTAATCAATCACAATTTTATCTGCAAGCTCTGGTGATTCTGTTTATTTATTTATTTATTTATTTATTTATTTATTTATTTATTTATTTATTTATTTATTTATTTATTTATTATTTATTTATTTATTTATTTATTTAAGGACACTACTGGACCTTCAGATGGATGAGCGGTATTCAAACGTGTGTAAATTCAACAATTCGCACCTAAATCAAAAGAAAATTGAAGTTTAAATATTCTATTTAGGCTTACACTTAAAATTTTCTGTAATCCCATAACACAGCCATGGTTATGATGGTAAAAGGTGCCACATCCTTTCTCCCCTGTTTAGTTCTCTAATCTGAGTATGTGTTCAAGTGTTTGTTTACGTGTTGCTGTTTTTACTGATTGTTTACAAAGCAGCTCATGAAAGATTTGAATGAAACTCTCACAAAGTAATCATTGGCTCTGTGCATCTTTAATAAAGTAACCTTTAGAGTCAACCCAATTCAACACGGCTAACAATTTACAAAAAATAGCCCAGTCAGGATTACAGATTTTGATGTCCAGGTTGGTGTGGTAGTCTCTGAGAGTCAAGTAGGCCTATAAACAGAGAGCAATGTGTTTGCAGATGTTCTGCTGTTAGTTTGTCAGTAAGTCCAGCAGGTGGCGGCATTGAGCTGMTCTGCTAAGAACAGCCACAGGTCAGGACAAAACTAGCATGGCCCTTGCCTTCCTACAGCTCTGCTCAATTCTAGTTTCTCTTCTCTGCTCCTCTGTACGAAGCAAAGTGAAGGACAAGGGTCTGGTTTTTACCAGGCTAGGAAAATATCACAGGAAGACATTTCTACATTTAATCACCTGTCTATGATCACATACTGTATGTATATGAATACACAATATTAGTGATGCAGGAGAAGACCATTCCAAGTGTCGCATTAAAGCATCTCTCAGTGTTTTCTTTATTCCTGTGATCACAGGGAGAAAACATTCAGTTCAGGAATTAAAATAAATTCAGCAAAAGAGAAGAAGTTGATGAATACTGAACTGTTTTCTCAAAAACATTTATTCATTTGAGATTTGAAAAACATTACTGTCACTGTTGGTTTCTTCAAAAAATATTATTATTATTTTACTTTAGATATTTATTTCTAATAATAATTGTATTGTTTTAGCACTAATTTTGGACTGCGATATTTTGTCTTTGAGAATTTACATGCACCTATTTGTGTGGCTGGAAAGACAGTCCACCTCCTTTTTTTCCTTGCATGCCATTTTTAGCAATTATGCTTAAAACGTTGATATATGACATTCTAATTTTTTTTAATCAGGTCAAAGTTACATGAAGACAACAAGAGAGTTGCATCTGTCTACTTAACCAGTTAATTTCTATTGYGTTTGAGCAAACAATATCATTTTATTGGGGGGTATTTTGACTGGATCAAATTATTGTGGGGGTCATAACCCCCCTAACCCCCCTGCAAATTACACCTATGGGGTGAGAGAGGTGGGTGAAAAGGTGTAAGGTGTTGAAAACCCACCTGCAACTCATAAGTAAAATAAATCATCTCGATCTGCAACTCAGCATCTGCACATCGATTAAAAACCTCACTTGTGCTGATTAATAACAAACGTATAAATTCTACATGTTTGATGGGAGAAATCTACATTTTCCCTCAGATACAAACCTCCTGATATGAGAGGGACAACTGTGAGGATTTGTAAACATAGTTTTCCTTTCATCAAAGTCTGTTGAAACCTTTGTATCAGCAGTGTGTCTCAAATATATTAACACACCACATCCTCCAGTGTAAAAATATAAGTACTGTTGTGAATCAAGCTGAATGTCTCTGGTCCATTCTGTCTCAGAGTGTCTGTAATCCACTGTAGCCTCTGTTTGTTGTGTTGTTTTCAGAAGCAAATTGAATTTAACCCATTTCCTTTTYAAACAAGCACATGACGGTCTTGTGATTATCTCTGTTTGCTTTCTGAGTTGGTGGATACACCATCTGTTTAAATCCAAACTGAATGTTTTTGTACATTTTGGAGCAGGATGCATTCAGTTTGTTGGATCTTTGCAGTTCTTCTGATAATCGGGCCGCAGGAGTTTACAGCTGGACCTCTTCATGCACAATGCAAAGTGGAATGGTATGACTCCTGCATTCTGTACACGTTTTGATTAAGTTAAATGTTTTGTTTCTCTATTTATTTTCCTTATCTATTGGTTTTAGCAGCTCTCGTAACGTAATCTCTGATGGGTGCGTGCTAAAAATATTTGTTTCTGGGTTTTACCAGTGCAAGAATCAGGCTGTTACTGCACATCATTTATGTCTGAAAACCATGCAGTGGTTCATGAAAGATTTTGCTAACACAATAAAGCAGTGTTGTATAAAGTACCACAAAGTGATACTTTAGTAAAAGTACAAGTATCTTATCAAAATTTACTTTGGTAAAAGTTAAAGTCTCCTTTAGGAATATTACTTGAGTAAAAGTCTTAAAGTATTTGATATTTTTTGTACTTAAGTATTAAAAGTAAAAGTATTTGTGGTAGAACTAATAC